TCTCTCTCTCTCTCTCTCTCTCACAAAAAAAACACACGTATATACACATAAACACACACACAAACGTCCAGGTCCACTTTGATAATAAAAGACACAAAGGGAGTATAATCGTACAATACGAGGATGTCACGGCTTCTGTATTTTGTGAAATGATTTGACATGATTTGCTGCCCTCTGAGGCGGGAAAGTCTCATGTGCTGATTTTAGAATACACGTTACTCAAGCATCATTTATCACGCTGATTCATTGTAAACTCACACTTAAAGGCTTAAAGGCCAACACATACATGTCGACCGGATACACGGTTATGACATCCTGTAAAAAAAAGCTTTCTGCTCTGTTTTATTTATTTATTTATTTATTTATTTATTTATTTATTTATTTATTTATTTATTTATTTATTTATTTATTTATTTATTTATTTATTTATTTATTTATTTAGAATATTACAATATTTTAAATTGGTTGATACATTAGTAGTACTTGAAGTATATTTTTAAAAAACGGGTATTTCAAAAACTGCAAATATCGACAGTCCGTTTTGCTTTTATCAATTTTTTTTTCAATGATTATTATGAATCCGTTTGAGAACGGATCTCCTTTTGACTCACTAATCTTAACAATCAATTAATCAACCCCTTTCCTGTCATTGACCTGGTATGTAGATTGCACTTTGCAGTTGATTTTAGATATTAAAACGTCTACCTGACCTTGTTATGATGATTCTATGAGTTGTATACTGGGTTTTTTTATTATAAAGAAATAGACAATTTTTTGTTCTATACCGTCTCACACAACAGTAAAAAAGTTTACCAATATTAACCAAATTTCAGGCATGACAATAAAAAAAGAGAACTTAGGTCCAATGAGGTCGCATTTTACACACTTGTATTTTCTTGGCGGCATCCTTCAGTTAATTATTATCTTTAATATCAAAAAGAATTTTGCCTAATACGCTACACTCTGTGAAAATGGCATTCTAATATTGTATCTAATAACTCCTCTCTCTACATCAATGGTTGTCTCAGTCTGTGTGATGCTGGGCTATTGTGCGGATGATCCTAGTTCCAATCTGAAAATGGGGTGTTCTTGAAGTTCAATTGCTTGAGCAGTTTTCAAAGTTTTTTCCCACTTGGATCGCTCCCCTCGGACATAAGCCTTCCGTTCTCTTATTATTTGAAACAGTACGTGAGAATGGCTTTTCAGTTTTGTTGTATACGCTGATAAGTTTGTTTTGTAATGTGTCTTACTGTCGTCAAATCCTCCAAATTCCACTGACATAGCCCCTGTTTGTTATCGTGTTACTTATTTATCTTTTTTTGTTTTTGTCCGCACCCAGATCCGGACCAGCAGACAGAGGTTCCAAATGTCCAATGTGACCCAAACGAAGATCTCAACATGGATTGCCTCATTGGTGATGAATCCATAGAAGAATTTGCAAATGGAGACATAGGGGATTGGATCTCACAGGAACTTCGGAAAATGTGCGGTTTTGATGAAAGCAGGTAGGTCTTGAGTTAGGATAGAATCTTTGAACATATTAATTAAACAATTTTACAGTAACAAAAGTCGTTTTAATATCGCTGGTAAGCGATCTCATCCGACTTTATCTTTCAGGTCTAAAGTTTGAATGAAGTTATGTTGGGATACTATTCAAAATAATCAAGGTAAAATACCGTAAAACTTGTGCAGGAGTTTTCTTTTTCGAGGATGAAAAGAATTTTGGGATTACATCTTGTTTGGGGTAAAGGAATAAGATTCCAAAGCTTCCGTGGAAGCTCATTCAAAGCTAACAACGATTGGATAACATGCTCTCTTTTACAGTCCTACAAAGACGTGTTAATTTTGGTCCTGGCGGAGTTAACGTGAGAATAAAAGTCAATGGTATGATTATACTTACACCTTAATATGACTAAAAAATATAATAGATACCTCCGGGAAAGAAAACAAAAAAGAATTTGAAAAATGTTTTGTCAAATAATCATCTTCTGCAGTTGAGAACGTTTCTGTTTGTTCGTTACACTGACATTATTTTTTTTTTAACTTTAAAATCTAAAAAAAATAATTCTAGCATTATTTTGGTCATTACCAAGCGTTGAGTCTCCATAATTATTCTGATTTTCATGGAATTGTAATTTTACTAAATTTTCTTGGAAAAAAGGGAAAAGAATGCTTTGTATTAGTAAAAAGCTGTTTGAAATCCCAACAGTTTCTTTGAAAAGATACGAATGTCTTATGTTCTTGAAAAGATATTTGAAAAGCTAAAAAAAAAAAAAACATTATAAAAAGTGCCGTTCTCTTCGGATACTTTAATTAAATTCTCTTTTCCGTGCAGGTTCAAAGCTGACAGAGAGGATGACGTATCAAATGTTGAGGCAAATGCCAGCAATGAGCTGTAGGAGGAGAAACTTACTGCCCAACTGGAACTAAGGAGGACTTGTGGGACATTAGGAAAAGAGGGAGGAAGGACATGAGGAGGTGGAAAAAGGAGAAATGCAGTTCCCCGCTGGGACTTTTAGAGGGCACGCTGAGGTGATAGGACAGACTCCGACGGAATGCTGGGAAAGAAAAACACGAACAGAAAGAACTGTGGCTCAGTTTGTGATTGGACTACGTGGCTCTTGTGTTGATGTGTTTGGTTCTTGGAGTTATGTGGAAACACTGAATCAGCTCCCGTTTCTTAAGCTGATATTTATGGAAACCAAAGACAGCCAGATGGAGGTGTTCTGTTTTGGAAATTGACGACCCGCCCCCTCCCCGCCCCCCCCCCCCCCCCGTCCCCCCAGAAAAACAAACAAACAACCCAAGTGCCTTTTTTATTAAGGTTTGTGTGCAGATATTATGCTGATGTGTTTGAACTTCCGACAGCTTTGTGATATTGATCAGACTTAAAGCCTATAGCACAGCTTAAGGAACTGAGGGAAAGTGTGAGAACAGGATTGGACACTTCTTAAAAATGCTGTCAAGGAATTGTGATGTATTTTGAATTAAAAAACTATTGTGTAAAATCATACGGAATTTCGCAGCAAAGCTAAGCAGGATTCTCGCAGAGGTGTCTTTGTAACTGGGGACAATTTGAAAATATTTAAAAACTAGAACAATGTAAAGACTGCGATTTAAAAAAAAGTTTCCGACGGTGTTGGAAGATGTACATGTATACTAAATTATGTTCCTAAAAAGATAATTTGACTGCCTCTCTCACTCGTAACCTTTATGATAATTCATTGGCTATTTCTGGACAGAGGGACCAGTGTTATCAAGAGAGGAATTATTACAAAACATAGCTAGAGAGATTGGTTTTCCATTAAAAATCTGCCCATATAAGTGAGTATTACAGAGCAGGTTGGTGACTTCAAGCGTGTGTTTGTCGTTTTTCATGAGCAATTTTTGTTTCTTTTTTTCACCGTCGACTTCATAAAGACAAGATGGTGTGGGAGAAAGAATGTTGTCCTTTGAAAAACATGACAAAATATATCACATTGTGAATTGTTATGCTTATCAACTTGCATCAAGTTATTTTATGTATTTAGAAGTAGAGCAGAATGGCAAATTGTACATTATAAGGCAAAAGTAAGACATGTCGAGAAATATAAAAAAATTCAGCCAGGCTCTGAGAGGTATTTGCAATGTACTTCTGCAAGGAAAAAAAAAAGCCTTGCTAAAAAGTACAAAGATGTTAAAATCTTATTATCAGTTTGTTGAAACATACGTATGCAAACACCCTGCTTTTAAATGTCATGAGGGATTGTTCTGTCACCTCCATCAGACTCTCGTGGTAACTGGATGACAAACAAAATTGAGAAGACTCCGTTCAATACACAGATAAAAGAACTGATCATGATATATTCTGCAGGACATCTGCTCATTGCATTCTCGTATTGTTGTCTTTATGATTGGAGATACCTGGTAAACACTTTAGAACTAAATGAATGTAAAGAATTCCATTTAAAAAAAAAAAGTTTTCGAAAGTTTTTGACGTGATAAAGTGAGTTAGTTATGTTCTTGATAAGACAATCTGAATTTTTCTCTCACTCAGTACATTTTTGGTTATTTATTGGGTATTTATGGACAGAGAAACCAGTTTTATCAATAGATGGTTTATCTAAAAAATAGGGAGATTTTACCCAAACTTTGTACAATAAACTATTTTAAAAACAATGTGCACATGTAATACAATAGTAGAGAGTGGCTTGATGACCCCAAGCATGTGTGTCGTTTTTCATGAGCAGTTTTTGTTTCTTCTTTTCACCTTCGACTTCAGACAACGAGACAGTGTGGGAGAAAGAAAGCTGTCCCTTGAGAAACATGACAAATATCACGTTGTGAAAACTTATGCTGATCAGCTTGCTTGGTGTACTTTGAATTAGAAAGCAGAAAGGCAAAAATGTACATTATTAAGTAAAAATAAGACACGTCGAGAGATCTTTTTGTTTCCGCCAGGCCCTACGAGGTATTTGCAATGCACGCTGTGGAAAAAATCCCTGCTTTAAAAAAAAAGAGATGTTAAAATCTAAAAGTCAGTTCTTTGAAAATGTACAAAGATCTACGTATGCAAAACATTGTGCTAAGATGTCACGAGTGATAGTTTTGTAACTTTCATCAGGCTCTTGTGATAAATGAATGAAGAAGTTTGATAAGATACCAATCAATATTTCTGCACAGAGGGGCCAGTTTTATGAATAGTAACAAGTAATTCACTTTAAGATAGGGAGATTTTACCCAAACCGTGTGTAACAAACAATTTTAAAAACAATGTGCTCATGTTGAGGAATATTATTATGAGTGAGTGACTTGGTGACCTCAAACAAGTGTGTCGTTTTTCAAGAGCAGTTTTTTGTTTCTTCTTTTCACTGTCGACTTCATAAAGACAACGAGACGGTGTGGGAGAAAGAAAGCTGTTCTTTGAGAAACATGACAAAATGTCACGTTATGAAATAAAATGCTGATCAATTTGCTTGATATAGATCTACTTAAAATTAGAAAGCAGAATGGCAAAAATGTACATTATCTAGAGATTTTACCCAAACTTTGTGTAACAAACAGTTTTAAAAACAATGTGTGATTGAGAACATGATTATATTATTAGAGAGTGGTTTGATGACCTCAGGCATGTGTGTCGTTTTTTTCTGAGCAGTTTTTGTTTCTTCTTTGCACAGTCGACTTCTTAAAGACAACGAGACGGTGTGGGAGAAAGAAAGCTGTCCTTTGAAAAACATGACAAATATCACATTGTGAATGTTTATGCTAGTCATCTCGAATCAGGTTTTCAAAAATGTATTTAGAAGTAGACAACAGAACATGTAGATTATAAAGCAATAGTAAGACAGGTCGAAAAACTTTTAGTGTCAGACAGGCTCAACGAGTTATTTGCAATATATATCTGCAGAAAAGATCTGTGCAAATAAAAAAAGAAAATTTAACATCTTACAGTCAGTTCGTTGAAAATGTACATACGTATGCAAAACACTGCGCTCAATATATCGTGACTGATTGTTTTATAACTTCCCATCAGGCTCTTGTGCTAATGCATTGTATTCTTCATCAATAATAATATTATATTGGATGATTGTGCCCAATGCATTATATGATATTATATGATATACATTGTCTTTCAGTTTTCTTGACTATAATATTCGCAGAGTTTTTAATCCATATAATAGACAGTCGTTGCATTTGACTGTATTTATTTATTTATTTATTCATTGTTCGCATTGTGGTCGAGGATACTGCCACGTTTCATGTGGAATTTAACCTTGCAGTGATAGAGTTATATGGCGTATTACGCTTCCTTTAAAGAGTGTGGCTGTTTCCGTGAAGAATAAAACGTGATTTACAATAATTTGATTTGTTTACCTTATTTAAATGTTTGTTTTTGTTGTGTCAAAACACCTAGAAATGGCAGTAACTAGGCGTTCTCCGGTATCATTTCTGTGTTCTTCTTCTCTCCATCTTTGATCTTGTCTTAGTGTGTTGTTCATTATCTCGGTGACTTCCTTCTTGTGACATTCAACCAAAGAACACAGGCACGGGGTGTTCTTTCCTCTCGATTTAATGGGGCGGTTATTGAGACTTGGATCGTCTTGAAACACATACATAATAAATAAATAAATAAAAAATAAAAAATAAAGGTGTTTTAGCCCCCCCCCCCCCACACACACACCCTGTTGACACAATTCAGATAATTTAGGAGGTGGATTTCCATCCTGCCTGTCAGGGCCAACCCGGGCTGAGAGGGATACAACATCCCAGCAGAAAGACAGAGACACTCGATAAAAATTCTCCCCACTTGGAATAAATCCAACTCGAGTCTCCGGCGTGCCGCGACAAAGTGCCTAACCACTACACCATAGACGCCAGTTTGAAAAAACAAGCTTGTAAAATATTTTCTTTAAAAAAAAATAAACTAGTAGAATCACATCTCACGTGTTGGGTGTATGTGTAGTAATATGTATCAGTGTTTCTGGTTGTAAAGGTTTTTACGCCCCAAATGACACAACTTGGGCCATCCTGGAGGCAGAACGCTTCGACTTTGTCTGACAGGGCCGATGGCACAGACTGAGTGAAATTACAGTATCATGCAGGGAGACGGAGACACTCATTAATAATATACTTCCTTGCAAGGGAATCAAACTCACTTGTTCTTCTGGCATTAATTCTTTAAATTAACGCCACGCCATGTACGAGTATGTCGATCCTTTGCTTCTTTCAACTAAAAGATAAAGAAAGTTTTTTTTTGTTGCTTTTTAAAGGTAGATTTAGTTAGTTTTAAGCCACTTGTAACACATACAAGTAACAAGTAATACAAGTGCCGAAGATCTGAGGTGTTATAAGAGAGAATCATACAATGAAAAGAAAGAGGAAAGATAAGGACGTAGATATTTAATCGGAAAGGACCAGATCCTACCCAGAGCACCCATTCACCTGGAACATAGGAACTTTTAAAACGTACAAAAACAGAGAGTCATATAAATAGTAATTTCATGTAATGTACATCCCTTCTAACAGTAACACTGTACAATTATTTCAAAAGGGGGGGGGGGGGGGGGT